TCCACCATTATACACATCTGTTAAAGAGTATTTCCAAATGTCAAACTATTTAAGTTATAACAAAATTTATATTCATAATTTATTAGTATTTATGAAGTTAAATCAAAGACATTAAAAAGTTGATTTTAATTTTTAAATGCTGCTGCTACCTAACCTGACGGTAGCCAGATTGATATCTGTAGAACCAAGTTGAGTTCTATGTTATCAATCTGGGATGGCTGCCGTTCAGTCTGTCTGTGAAAAAGAGGGATGTTTAGTACAATACTTCGAGCTGCTTGGGTGACATGTCAGCTTGTACCCGCCTTCCATAATATGCTTTTAGCCAATTGTAGCCCCTTAAGTGTTTTTCCAAATTTTTCCAAATCCTGTCGGAAGAAAAGCATCTTTTCCCATCTTTAAATGCTTCAATTGTGGTATCAATAGGTGATTCCTCCAGCATAGCCCTGTTTGTAATGCCCCGGCAAGCCCCTTCTGACTGTTGTCATTCCTACATGTCCCACCCCTAAAAACACTGCTGGCATGTCATTGGTCCGACCTGCTGGTTGTTTTGTTATTAGAAGGAGTCTTTCAAGATGGATACAGTATGTTGTGAGACCGAAAACTCAGATCTTGTGATAATCCAGCTTGCAGCTCAAGGTTAGTTACTACCAACACATTGATTAATTTATTTCACCCATCATATACTGTATGTATGTGTATCACAAATAAAAACACAGAAAACAGGATTAAATTGATGAAAATCAGTAACAATAGCATGATTATAGCTCTCATATTTCAGTAAAAGTAATTACAGCATATGTTGTTTTTAACATATTCAGATACAATTTTTTATTAAATTGTATCTTATAGAATATTTTCATTTATTCCCCATGTCTGAAAGGGACAAAAGGTCCAAACTATATGAAAAGTTTCCAAAGAAGATGTTAATCAAATTAAGAAAATATACTTTCTCTGGGGAGGATTGTATACTTTTTATATTTCTGACCTTGCAAGTCATACTGTATATATATCATCCACAGGCCATAGAGATCTCTCAATAAGCCCTCTCACTTATCCACTCTAGTGTTAATGCACCGCACGTTTAGCAGTACTGTTAATGTGATGCGATCTCAAACGGCACATCTAAGAAGCAAATTCCTGCACATTTACAATTGTGTAATTACAGGTTTTTTTTAAAAAATCCCATACAAAGAACTCTGGTACAAGACATCTACTCCTACACAATAATGACAGTGTAATGAATATTAGGGAACACAGACCTGTGAACCCAAGAACCATTAACGAACCACAGAGCTGATTCAAAGCTATTATGTTGTTATCTCTGTCGTGCAATAAGCTCTTTTAGCTCTACAGCTAAAAGAATGCGAATTATTGTTTTTCATCTTTCTTTTCTTATGCTTTACTGAGCAAACCTACATAATTATTGGTCTGAAGTTCCAACAAGCATTTGAATAGCAGAGAAAACATTTTCCAGTTTGTCTTAACTCTAGAAAATAAAACTTTATGCAGTTTTTTTGTAAATGAACAGATTCCAGGCAATCTGTGGCAGCCTTGCATAATAAACTAATGCTTACTTAACAAAACACTTATTTTGGGATTTTCAATATTTTTGTTGCCGAGTTGACTGGATGGAAATTGTAAATATAATTCCTCTGAATGCTCATCAAGTTCATTATTCATAATCTCTATGAAAATTCAGTGTAGTTTAGTTTGGAACCAATCACCTGAGTAAATAAAAAGGTGTTTAAGGACATGCAGAGAGTAGTTATACCAAGGAAAGGGTAGGGCAAAGTGACAAAAAAACAAGATAGCATATGGAGGAGTGGATCGATAGGAATACAATTAGGGGCATTCTCTATATGCCCTGTTTTCAAATCAATTGGTTTCAAAAAGAAAAAAGAAAAAAAGGTATTAAACAAGGTTTATGTGGCAACACAAAACCTATTGTGACATGCTTGTCAAGATTTATGTGTTCGATTACAAGCTAATAATACAGGATAGGGAGAGGGGTAGCATTTGTCTTTCTAGAAATCAGCAGTGATGTCAAAGGTAGAGAACAGGAGAGCAATCCAAAACAGTAGAGCAGTTTACAAAATGACTCATGTCCAATAAACTTTTTCACATTTTTCACATTATTCAGACTTTTTGATTGACCAACACAAAGGATAGAGACATCACTAAGTGGAATAAAAAAATCACAGGGTTTTTATTTTCCAGTTTTTTTTCTATAAAAGGAAAAAATAAATTAAAAAAATAGCAGTTTAATGTGCACTTTTTATATGCATATGCATATTTTGTCTTCATTAAAAAAAAAAAAAAACACATTAAAGGGGATTACATATCATGATTGTTTTCCTTCTACTTCACCACTAAGCCAACTGTGTGTCAGTGTATCAGTGCTAAAGAACCTTTTTCCACCAGGGCAAAATCTGTTGTCACAAAAATTCAGTTAAAAACATAAACAAATCCTAATTTCTAATTCAATCAGGTCAGCAGCAATCTAAGCTTAAGATATTTTATGAAATAATCTAATAATTTTAGTAAATGGAAATGTAAAAGTTTATTGCTCAAACAACATATTTCCTTTTCAAAATAAGGTTACATTTTCTTTATTTTATGGCTATTTTTAAAGATATTAACATTTCTCTTCTCTGCAATAAGACGTGTTTTTGTTGTAATTAGCCAAACTGTGCAAATACGTGCATTTATGTCCACTTTTAATTGGCTCCTTGACGTTTTGGTCCCGTTTATCATGAGATTCCTGGGAAAGGAAACGTGATAAAAAAAAAAAAAATAAAAAAAAAATTTGTTTTTGTTGGACTTAATATTTTCAGATTTAAAATTTGGATTTGAGGACATGGAATTAACTACCTGTGCTGGTGGATTAAGTTTGAATTATTCTTGTACTGTGATCCTTGGCCAATAAAGGGTAACCCCAGTTCATCACATATTGGACCAAAGGATGTATTTCTGATTTTTTAGCATATTCAACAAAAGAAAAAGTGCAAGGGCTCATGTAAAGAACCAGCTTAAGCCTTTAAAATATTTAGGAGCTGTGGGAGAAATGCTGAAATCAGGCATTTGGCTTAAATCAACCATGAGAAACATACCATCATTTAGATACATAATTTTAAATTCACATCATCAATTTCCACTCCGCAAGGCACACCTGCGTTTCCTGGCTCTGATTTTCCAGATCACTCACTGGATAGAGAATTGAGATTATTCCAAGAAACACAAGCACACACACAAACTCACACAATTGTGCTAAATTACACAATTTAACAGCATCCAAATTACCTAAAATACCAGATGTGCCACTCCTACATAATGGCTCCCTGTAGGTGTTGCCTTTCCACCGTGCAACACTTAACCTTGAGCTTTATCTGATCAATAACTTGTTATTGGTCCCTACCCGCCTCTTCAGCTGCTTGTCAAACATAAAATGCTTTGACAAACTCAGCCTAAAACCCTACAGGCAAATCTGCAGGTAGATAAATACAGTAAAACTTCTGTCCACTGCCTTTATAGAAAGGGAGAAAAAGTAACGAACAACGTTGAGAAGTTTTCCACTAAAACCGCTCATTAGGGGCTGAATTAATGGTTAGCTTAATAGACCGGTACATCTGAAATTAAAGCCTTGAAAATGGCCACCTGCCATTGCTAACTGCTGTACTGACACATTTTCTATCACCAAGTTGGACCTGACCTCTTATCTAACTGATTTTTTTTTTAAGTAGCATTTGCAGAGGGGGAAAAAGCAGTCAGTTTTTAAAAGACGGCCGGGTTCCTATGACAACTAAAAATTTTAAATGGACACTACAGTAGCATTAGTAAGAGAACTGTGATTACTGGACCTAATAAGCTGGAGGCTGTAGAGGCTCTAAGCAGTTATTCAGCCTAGACCTAAAATGTGAGCAACTCCAGATGCTATAATCATGCTGAGCATGACCACATGTGCTATATTTAGTATTTGGTTCTGAGTACCTTTATTGAAAAGGCATTTATAGTCAGATGTGTTTTGTCTTTAGAATCCAACGTGTATTTTTATAAGAAAGGGATTAACAAAATATTAGAATGGTGACAAAATTTTTTGTTTTGAATGTTGTTACTTGTTTTACCCTCAAAAATGTATTATATTATGATACAACTTTCATAATTCATTTTATATTAAAAGTATGTTATTTTCAGTATCAGCTTTCCAACATTTCATTGTAAAGACGTAGTGTATGTTTGCTGTGCACTGTGAATGGCAGAAGGTCAGTTTGTAGAGAAGTGTTAGTAAGGCTACTCGTGCTCAATTTGCTCCTGTACTATACATCTCACATAAACCTTTAAAAGCAATGGCTGTAGTTTAATACATTCTTAATAGTTAATATGATAAGAATATAACACTTTTCTAAGTTTTATATTCTGTAAGAGATGGTTTTTTAGTATTTTAATTACCATAAATTCAACCATGCATCCATCGAGCTTGTTGCAAAACATTAGCAGAGCAATGCAACTATTCATGTGTGTTAACGATCCAATAAGCATACCAGCAGATTAATTTCATTGCTGATAAATCGTGTGACCTTCAGGCCTCGTCCAAATCAAGCGGGGTTGAGTGTATATGACAAGTTTCTTTGTCAGTTAGGGGTCCCATCAAGATAGCTTTACTCGCCAAGAAACAGACTACATTTGAAAACAGCCTCTGGAGTAGATAAGTTTGAAGCCACCCCCCACAGCATCTCTACCATTATACCCCAATACGCATAGCTGGCTACACTATGCTCGCTAGCACTGTTTGAACTAGCAAGCCAATGTAACTCTCACCACCACTACTAAATTATAAATTACAAATCTTTATTGTGTAAATCTTGGCTCCAGCTTTCAATGGCTCCAGCCATTGAATTCTAAATAGTAAATTTTCAAAACACAAAGTTATAAATGTTATGTTCTCTGATTATTATGATTTGATGAAACAGCAGAGAAGCCAGTTATGGGGGGAAAAAACTTACGGAAAGCTGTGTAAAACTCATGAAGGCTCAGATGTTTGTCATTGTTGTAGTCATCATAACGAAGCAGGTCTTGCATGGTGCATTCCAAAAGACTGCTCTCCAGATGCTCCTTCATCGAGATCTAAGGTCAATATACATAAAAAAACAAGGAATGTATCACTAAGTCCCTTAAAGAGAGAATCAACAAAAAGGACAGATGGCCAAAACTAAATGATTCAAAAGTCTTAATGTTTTTCATTTTCCTTCTTCTTTCACAAATTCCCCAATTCTTTAATTATTAATAAAAAAGGAGAAACAAGCATTAAAGAGATCAAATAAAAAGAAATGATCTGTATGCAGTGGTAGCCATTCAAAATTTCCCCACTTTCATTGATGGGTCCTCGGCTGGTCCCCTACAATTCCTTTTTAATCATCAATCTTTGTACTAAAATATTATTTTTCATGATTTGTGGAAATTAAGATCTAAAGAGAAGCATCATCTCCTGGTCAAACCCTGTAATTCAGTGAAAGGGTAGAGTCAGAGTAAAACAAATATGCATGCCCAGGAGCAGGCCAGTTGGAGGGGATTTTAATGGGAGTTGCAGGGGAGTAGGCTGCCATTCGGCTGGCGTTTGACTGGGAAGGGCCATTTTAAATGGCTGCTACTGTATGAAAGTATTTAATTTACTTCATAAATGTGTGTGTTCAGAGTTTGGTAATAACTGTTTATGGATTATCTCACATTGTTAGAAAGTCCCTACTTCTTCCTGCATCCTTTTTGGGTGAGCCATCTTTAAAAGTGGAACATTTTTAGAGAGATAAGGAGAAAACTCAGACTCTGTTTAACATTTGCAAGTTAGACTACCTACTACTGTTATTGTTGCTTTTTCGATACCACAGCATTCCCTACAAAAAGCATGTCTCTATGCAAGGAAAAACATAATGCTTGCAAGATACTGTTAAACTGTTGGCCTTATTCTAAAACGTCCACATTTGTATGAATAATAGCCAAAACCTTTTATAAAATATATATTAAAACAGATGGGTATGTGTATTTATTCTTTCGGGTTACTGAATTAATTAAATTGCATAAAACAATTAACTATTCAATTGAGACGTATAGAAAAGAAAATCTACAAGCTCGCTGTAGGATCTTTAATATTTCACAGAGTGTAAGAGGCAAGCTAACCCCTAAAACAAAGGCTAAGTAACAGCAGCCAAGCTTAGAAGTACAGCAGTGTTAGGCTTATTTTCAATATCTCAATGGCATGCAGCTTCAGAAAAACTTTAAACTCCACTATTGCTCTGTTTCTTGCACACATATCATGCCAAGAAAGCACATCAAGTTAAGCGTGAAAATACTGTGCAGAAAGGGGTAGGCAGTTTGTAAAGGCGCTTTAGTAAAGCCAATAATGTCATGCATGCATTAAAAACTTAGACATCAGCAATAAATACGTGGCAGGCATCCTCAGAGCATAAGAGAATAGTTTAAACTGAACAGATCAATTTTTTTACTTTTATGGATACTGTTTACAGATGACTTGATTTAGAATTGTATGTCTACATTTATAGAGTCCTCTACAAGACATATTATAATTATGCAATTAAGAATTGTACTGACAGTGGTCGTATCTTACTGATTAGATTTAGGAAATTGTTCATTAAAATGTGTAAATCTGCAGTAAGGAATTCCGCAGGGATTAGTTTAAGTTCTCATTTTAAATCTAGATATTTTTATACTAGATTCTCATTTGTAAAAATGTCGCCACAGGATATTTCTTAAGATAGACATGTGAATAGTATGTCTTTCAAAACAGAATAATTAAATAATTAAAGCAGAACTAAGAGCGGTTACAAAGACCATGGAAAAAAAAAAAAAAAAAAAAAACTTAAATACTAATATTCAAGCGAGCTGATAGATTTTCTTTTTGTTAGCTGGAAGGCATAAACAATGGATAATAATTTATAAGTCATCTTAAATTTTATAATTCACAGAAGCAAGGTCAACTTAACTCTTCCTTGGAACAGTTTTTATTGATGTTAACAAAGTGCTTGTTTTGAGATCAAAATGCCAACAAAGTAATCATGAGGGAAGCTGAACTACAGGCCTCATTCCTCTAGCCAGTAAAGTATTTAAGTATACCCCTTCTTCCCCAGTAATCTGCTTTCAAATGGTTTCTTATGGAGCTGCACATGTGACATGGCAGATTAAAGGATGTGACAAACTTTTTATCTGGGGTTGCCGCCCGGAGCCTACTGCAGCCATATGTTCACTGTCAGACCAGTCTGCCCTTAGGCATTTGAATAATACATCTTCAAACCCTAAGTAGAACACTTCAGCCTCCAACATTATCTGTGACAAAAGGCAGATTCTCGAGGAAAGTCAGTGAGGAATGATGACTGCAATTCCACTTTGATCCTTAAAAAAGTCATCTATACAAAGCAGAATTCATGAATTCCTACATGATAAGAATGTCTTATCAAGGGATTTTTCAGAAACATGCCAGCTTTACTAAATCTTTTAATACAGATCTGTCATAAAAGGGTGTAGTCACTTATTTTCTTTCTTTGTAAATCGTAAAAACTTAGCTGAACTTGTTAAAATTTCACATCCAAGCAAAAAATCTGTGTTCTGTAGCTTTTATGGCTATTTATAACTGAATCTTATGATTTTTTTTCCTCTTAACAACAAGCAACATTGCAGCTCATTAGTCTAATCTTGCTGTCACCCAAACCTGACAGAGAATGATCTCTTTTGCTTATTGAATGCAAAATAATCATCGCAATTTAAAAAAAAAGGGGTATATCTTATTAAACACCTTTGCAAATATCACTGAAAAGGTGGCATTTCCAACAAATGCACCTCTTTTTTGTTAAAACATAGATAACACACATCTCCTGAAAAGAACATAAAATATGTTTGAGCAGCATGGTACACCAACGCACACACCCAGAAAATCAGACTTAAATCACTCTCTCATAAGCCGACTAAAGGAGCCTATAGAAGCACCTGCATTAAATAGAATAAAGCTCCTCTTATGGGGGTGTATAGGAAAGGAAAAAAAATAATAAATGTAATGCTTTTTACTTGGACTGCCAACCACAGCAGGAGGATGTTTACATTTTAAATTGGACTGTTAGAATGGATGTCCTGGGTTTTCTCCATCAAATCAGCAGACTTGATATCACTGCTATTTTGATAGAGCTGATCATACCATGCCGACTGAAAAAGTCAGCATGGTATTTAATTTTTTATACTAAGCTATTATTGTGTAAATCAGTTTGAAACCACTTGTTTTCATTTGCCAATTATGCATTTGGATGAAAGAAATTACTCAGAATTCCTTTTTGCTCAATTCTTGGACCACATTATTTCTGTATTTATTATGCACTCCCCCTCTTGACATACATCTTATTATAATCAATCCTGTTTGGGACTCACCTTTTCCAATTCATCGCTAAGTAGCCTGCCGTCATTGTTTACATCCAAGTATTTAAACATTGTGTCCACCAACTCCCTCTTCTGCTCCATGTCCCTTTGCTGGGTCTGCTCTCCACTCCTCAGTAGTTTTGGTTGCATATCCAACAGGGTGCTCTTTAGCTTGTTGTACTCTGACATAGTGCATGCAGTGCCTGCAAGGGTAAACACAGACATGGATGAAAAGACATTTAAATAATCTCAATTACACAAGCCTTTTGGATTGTAGCTGTAAATTGGATTTAATGTGCTAGTGTGTTTAATAGTGGGAATAGAAGAAAAAAAGAATTGGAGGGAAAGATGAAGTGTGTATCTGCATATGCATGTGTGCCATTTAGACCTCATCTAAAAAGATGAACCTTATATTTGCATAATTTGTTTCAGGGTTTTTGGTTGCAAAAGGTCTAAACAATTACATGTAATCCTTGAATCCGCTTTGCAAACAAAAGGTAAATATTCTCATTCAGTGCATTTATAGTCTCAAACCATATTGCAGTCTAGCTGTTGTACTGTGGCTATAAAGCTTATGTTTCACACATTAATGTTTACTTATTTACATTTGTCTGCAAAGTATATGTGAGGAGACTAAGCAAAACATATGAGGCCTCAAAAAAAATAAACCAGCAGAAACAGTGTTTGTATTCTGATGACTTCTAAAACTTCACTCAATATATTTGGCAAAACATGTCATATGTGAGGAGGAACCATATATACATCAATAGTATATAAAAGCAATGGTGCCATTCTGCAACACAACAGGGAAGCCATTGATCAGAGATACTGTGCCATGTTTTCCGTTTAAAAAAACAGTAATCTAAAATAAAAACCCTTAAATTGAAAATGTAGGTGCAACACATTATGTAAATTACCTTTTGTCATGTATTTTCTTTTAGTTGTATTTGATTGCAAATAGTTGAAATTTGGAAAAAAAAAGTGTACGATTGGATAACTCAAAGGGTTTGAAGTTCTGCATGGCACTATACTATATATTATTGTAAAAAAAAGAAGATTCACGACTAAGACCACATGTCCTTGCATGACACCTTCCAACCACAGTCAGATTAGTAAACTGTAAATTAATGGATATTTGAGTCTAATTCCTCTGGCCAAGCATTCTTTTTAAAGTAGTGTTTACCACAATCAAAGTGCATCATAAGTGTCCTTGGGAAATCATTACCAATGTTCCAGCTGGGCTACAGCAGAGACCACCTCCTCCTGTTCTACTTAACCTTTTAGATTCTAAATGCGCATCTTGTTCTCATACAAACATAAATAAACAGTCTCCTTGTGTGCAGAATGTCTCTCACCAAAGGAAAAGGTTGAGGTCACCCATAATTAGGTCCTCAGCAACATCAGAAATATAGAAATGGCTTTCAATAAAAATAAAAAACACACAAATATGTATATATGCAAGTCATGAATGACATAAACATGTTATTTAATGATCTAGTTTTCTGTTAGGTGCTATTAGACAGCCAAGTAAAAAAGAATATACTTTTGACATCAATAACTATAAAGATAATTACTTTCTTAAAGCTGGAAACTTTTAGGAAAAGAAATTCTCTAAGATCAATATCTACAATTTGTCATCTAACCAGAAATACCACATAGTATACCAGAATTCATTTACAAGTAATTTCTCATCTCCTCAAAGATATCCATTTTTAAGAGAGCTCATAAATATGTACATGACCTTAATTTGTAATGCCTGATAAATTACTTCCTAAAAGCTTCAGTGGAACCAACATCACCCAAACAGAAATCAAATGATTATTCTACGACAGTATTTTCAGTTAGGGAATAGCACTGCAAAAGAGCACAGCAATAGGGTTCAGCAATTTTCTGTAACAGAACATGATAGGAATAGAAAGTAAATAGAAAATGGAATGCCTCTTAAATCTGGTGATGGATTGCTTACAGAAGAAAGTCACACTACATTCAAAATGTGAGACAGCAGCTATGGTTTTAAGATGGACTTCTGATTTGTAATACTAAGATTTACTTATCAAGTACATCAATCAAAATGTTTTGCAGATGAGGATCAATTAAAAAAGGTAATCAGTCCAATAAATCTAATTTACTCCCATATATTTGTCCCTAAATAGATAGTATGTAGGGACACAAACAACACTGTTGACTATTCTAAGACTTAAAAACCAATTCAGCAGACACAATGCGTATTTTTTACTGCAAGGAGGCAGTCATGTCAAGGTCTTTGCTAAATCCATGCTCAATGTTATTCCTGTGAGGCGAATGAGGCGTGAGAAGGCTCAGATATTAGGGATCATCACCTGACCGTCATCTCTGTCCCCGTACCGGAGGGACAGAAATAAATTCACCTCCATGCCAATTTAGATCTTGTCATATAGGCAAAGTATTATCGTCTCCTTGTCCCAATCTTACTGCACTGCCTCAAAATTCTATGCAGCAAATAGCAAGGGCATCAGAGAGAAAACTGGAAAGACTGTTTACAAAATGCTTAACAGAGTATGCTGCACCAAAATTTTATGACTAAAAGGGTACACGATTATTTAAGGATCTTCACATATCGTCCCTGAACCTGGATGTTACACCTGGGTGTTACAGTGAATTATGTCTTCACTGCATAGTACATGTCCTCTGACTCTGGCTTTCTTATCTTGCTCAGCAAAGCAGCTGCAGAACTGGCAGCAAAATATCAGTCTACATTATAGTGTATCCACCTCTTGATCCTGTTTTATTGTACAAGGGGGGACCTAGACCCTCTTTATAGGCAGTTTGAAATATTAGCTACTTAAGGGAGCATGCCAAAGCTGCTTGTACAATATACGCCCAATGTCCCAAAGAGGGTGCTCGTCGTCTGCCTAAAGCATCCACAAAACCCAAACCTTAGAAGTCATATCAAGATAGAAAAAAATTAGCTGAATCTCAAGGTAAAAGATATCACATAAAGGTGGTTAAAGAAAGCCTTTGTAGGTGTTTAGAATTACTTTTAATCCAGTTATACAGAGATATAGTTTGTAAATTAATGTCAGTATCAGGTGTTTCAAACCCTCCATCTGGGCTGTTCCTTATTTAATAATTGCCATTTTTGTACTTTTAAATGTTTTATTGTTTAGTGCTATTACCACCAATGGTAAGATTATCAGCGTGGACCTGGCCCTTTTTTTTGAGGCCAGTATCACATGTGAAGAAGCTGTTTTTGTGACGGGTTTTCTGTCAGATCAGCCTACCCCGTCAGACCAGCATACCCATCGTCAATACCAGTTTACCCCTTTAGTTTTGTACGAAAAATACACTTTAAACTACCTCAATGGGCGTGTATCCCTTCAGTCATGTACAACCTAGCCCACAAAACAGACTGACTTTTGGGTGTTTTTGAAGCTTTTGGGGATCTGACCAAAAATTGTTTTTTTTGTACATGACTAAAGGGATACACTCCCGTTGATGTAGTTTAAATTATATTTTTCATAAAAAACTAAAGGAATAAATGCAAATCTGACATCTTGCGCATGCGTATTGACTATGGGTATGTTGGTCTGACTGGATATGCTCATCTGACAGAAAAACAGCATGCTCCAGTCCTGATATAGCGCAACCTTCTGCCAGTGGGGAGAGTCTAAGGGTGTTTTCACACACGCAGGTTTAAGTTGATCTAAATTTAGAATGACCTAAATTTGGTCACGTTTGGGTCAGTGTGAAAGTCCAATTGGACTCTACTGCCTAGTGCGGCCTAAAATAATGGTCTTGGTTCAGCTCCAGCCAAACTGTGGTGAACAGTAGTTGATGTCTAAAAAAAAAATTGTACTCTGGTGCAACCCAACTGCCAAAGAAACTCAACAATTTTGTGCTAAAACGAAATATTACAGGCACGAATTACCTTGTCAGTAATTGTTAAAGATAATTGTTACATGTTAAAGAGCATTAACCTGCGCCTTCTCCTCAATGGGGCAGATATTTCCCTTCGGCGTCCCCAGTGCATCAGCATATTTTCAAGCCGCAGCATAGCTTCAAACACTAACACTTGCCAATAGCTGTAGATGCAGACCATATAGAAAAAAGGGGAGAGCAACTACTCCATTTACAGCTATTGGCAGCGCTTCCAGTTTCCAATCAGTTGTCATGGAAACATAACATTCTCCAAGTACTTCTAGATTTGGTCCCAAATTAGAAAAAAAAGTTGGTCTGAAAGCAATCGTAATGACTGGAAAAATGAAACAATGTTTAATTTTAACATTCAGAGATGCCCTAGAGTGTACACTAAACATATATATATATATATATATATATATATATATATATATATATATATATAAAACAACTAAAACTACTTGTGTCCAGGGTGAGAAGGGTCAGCAGCAATCTTAGCTGCTTGCCTCTGGGTTCTTATATTTCTGAACTAAAAATAGGTTTTACACACATTAAATAGCTTAGAAAAGGTGCGTACAAACACACATTGGTATTATAAGAATATGCGATATCTATATTAGAAATTTGTGTACACCCATCGTATTTTTAGTAAAAGTAACCAAAGTTTGCTTTAGGCAATTTATATGAAGGAATTGCAACTCCAAGATCACAAGATGAAACGATGCATGATATTGAGTTCCTTATCATTTCTTAACTAATGTTTGTTTAGAAAAGAAAGAAAGTCTCTGCAAAGACAGTAAAGTTAATAAAATAACACCAACTTGAAAAATGTAACAGTATGTCCAGAAATAGTTAAGTTATACCAAACAATATCTTGACAGAATCATTCTGCCTAACTTTAACCTGGAAGTATTGCAAATCTTGAAACTAAGATAATTAAATGTGGAGCAGAGTGATCAACAGACCTCCATTATGCCTTTAGACAAGAAATGACAGAAAGCCATGAAGCAGATTCCATCTTACTAGATTTCATAGTCTAATGAAGCCTATAAATACGACATAATTTAACCGACCTTTTTGTTTTTAACTTGACTTAACAATGAAATGTAACTATTGTAAGCCAGATGACAGGTCTTTCTTTATGAGACAACTTGAAAACTATTTTCTTTAATACTTCAAAGTAAGAGTCTCAAATTTTGGCAACACTTTGCTTTAACAAAACAAGGTGGTCCGTTTTATTGCAACATCTCAGGTCACAAAACATTAGATCCTCCATTTCATACGGTTTCCACCAAAATCTTATAGA